ACAATAGTCTACATTAAACAGAGTAATAAACATGTCTCAGAGTGAGGGAGGTGGACACAGACAACACTATTGTTTGTTACAGGGATGAGAATTGGTAAAAAATTCTGAAATGCATATTGTCAGCCATTAGCTGGCTCTAAATCTGTTTAATCTGTTCACAACATTTTACTTTTGGGCTCAAACATGAACTTTTAATGCAATGGAAAATTTAGGTACCCGAGCTTTAATTTAGAGGAGAGGGGAGACGCGGACTGTTTTCTGCAGCGGTGTATTTATTGGGTGCACAAATTACGAAAAACATGCATGGTCCTGTGCGCGTTTATGGTCTTGGGTACATGGTCACGTTGCGGCTACGCGCTCACCGTGTTGTGTTGTGAGTGGTTCCCGGTGAGCGGTTCCTGCGTCCAGCTCAGAGCCGCTGGATGCGGGAACACTGCGGCCGCTGAGGTGGTGGAATCCCGTTCGAGTACATACAGCAGGAGCCCCGCGGACACGCGCGCTCCCCTCAAACATTTCTCAACGGATTTACACTTTTCACAAACATGTGTTTTGTATGAGACAGACAGACCGGCCCAAATATGGGCATCGGCCCTTCGGGCATTGCCCGGTACGCCCGATGGCCAGTCCGGTGTAACCCGGGTAATTTTTATCATTCTCTGCACCTCTCCATTTGTCATTTTTTGCCGTCTCTTTTAAATAATCTCGCGGTAGTTGGTTGTTCCGACGAGAGTTCGAGCGAGAGTTCCCACGGTCCCCATGGCAACATTTTCTCAAATAAGCGCGCTCTGTCCACAGTCGGGTGTGTTGCTGTGGGGAAAGTTCGGATCCGAGCAGGCTGCAGGTAATTGTCCGCGATCTAACTTCGTTTCATAATCTACGGGTTGTAACTGATATGCTTTCACTACAGGCGCCTCCTACACTGATCTTTGACGCGGTTGTCACACTGTTTGCACTGTTCTACAGAGGAACTGGTGAGTCAGATTGTTTGATTCTGCACGGAGCTAGTAGCTAGCGCTAGTCTCTGGCTGCATTACTGACTTTTCTCTTTGATGTATGTTTTTCTGTGTCGGTGCCTAGGCCTAGTAGTATGATTGTGATAATGTGTATTGATGTATTTTAATGTGCACCTCAGCAAAATGTTAAATGCATTGATATATTTGATTGTGTGTGCACAAGATAAGCTAATGTGACCTGTGCATTATTGTTTATGGTACATTGTGATGAGTACTCTTGATTATTTAATATACATGTATATGAGACTTTGTTTTTGTAATGACCTATTGCTTATTTGAATGAGATGTGACTAATGCTGGTCCTGTTCGTAACAGGCCAGGTTCTATCCATCCATCCATTCCTTCCATTGGTCCCTCCAGTCCAGTGGTCCCCTTGTCGATGGCGAGCTGCCCCAGGCCCCAAAGCCTAGACCCAGACTGTCCCCACAGTGCGGTAGGAGGCGAGCAGCCTTTTGCTCACCCACACAACACCTCCACTCCTCACAAAGTGGACACTTAATAGACATTGATTACAGCAACACGCTGGTTATATGGACTCAACTTTACACTCTACATTCATTGTACATATTGTGTATATTGTATATATGTTTGTATATATCCCCAGTCTTTTGTATATATATCTTTCCGCAATATAATTCACATTTTTGCACTGTACCACTGTCTCTGTCTTTTTAAACACCTCTCTCTCTTGTGAGACGCATCTAGCTTCTGGTACTAGCCTAAGATCAGTATTGTGCCTGTGGGTAACATAAAGCATACAACCCATATATGCTACATAAATTAAAGTGGCGAGCTAGCCAGGAGAGATTGGATTTGTTTAAGTCACACATTGAACTTTTTGACAATATGGATGTATTTCAAAAGCTGGGGATCAATATACCAAACTCTGTAATAGTTGAAGGCATATCAGATACAGACGCGGACAGCATTAAAGAGGTTGCAGATTTTTTGGTAATGTACGGAAAGATTAATAGGACAAATGTTGTATCTGAACCGGAGAGTGAATGTGACGAAATGGTTATTTTTGAGTTTGTTGACTGTGCGCCAATTTCCAAATTGCGACCGTCTCTTCCATACACATTGAAGTCTAGTGATGACACTACAACATATTATATTTCTGAACTTTCTACTGTTTATGCAAAACATACTGCAAAGAGCAAAACTCAGTCATATTTAGCCGAGCTACAAAATATTGCGATGTCCTCAGGTTTGGATTTTGCAGAAGTGTTGAATTCCACAATGGCTCAGATTGGACGGTCCGTAGCCAAGCTCCACGCTTCTAATCCGGAGTTGGAGGAAAGGGGCCTGACCGGCGCTGAAGCTGCAACAACGCCATCTGTGGGAAAACTCCTGCAACCACCAGCAACAGTTCCTGTAGCTCTGAAACCAGAAACACAGCCACACATCACACCACCTTCCACATCGGAGCCAAGAGCGAGAGTGCCAATCCCTAACCTGGATGTTAACCCACCTGGAATCCAGCGGTATGTGGTGGAGCATATAGTGAAGAGCGATGAAAACACATCCCATCAGAGACTCAGAGTGTTTTCAGGACGCCAGCCGAGACCCACGCAGGAGGCGGATTACGAGACATGGCGGTCAGGAGTGGATTTACTACTGAGGGACCCGTCAGTCTCAGACCTCCACCGCTCGCGGAGGATTGTGGATAGCCTCCTGCCACCTGCAGCTGATGTTGTGAAGCACCTGAGTGTGGACAACTATGCCAACAGTATATATGGATATTTTACACTCGGCATATGGTACTGTTCAAGATGGAGATGAGCTCTTCGCAAAATTCATGGATACTTTTCAGAACAGTGGAGAGAAGTCATCCTCCTATCTACAACGGCTCCAAGTGGAGCCGTTGTAGATAGGAGGTTGTAGATAGGCTCCACTATCTACAACGCATGCAGCTGTGAAGATGGGCGGAGCTATGGACGTTGATGTTAACAGGCACCTAATCAATCAATTTTGCCGTGGGTGTTGGGACAATTCTCTTATAGCTGAACTCCAACTAAAGCAAAAGAAATTGAACCCACCAACATTCTCTGAGCTTCTGCTTCTGCTTCGAACAGAAGAGGACCGAGGTGCAGCAAAGGATCTCCGGATGAAACAGCATCTTGGTACGGGCAGACAGAAGGCATCCACCCACGTGCATAGTGCCAGTTCATATGGGGACAGTGAAGAAGGTGGAGCAGTCGCTGCTTTGACCAGCGTAACTAAGCGGCTGGCTGAACAACTGGCAGATGTGCAACGGCAGCTAGCCATGCTAACTGCTAACAAGACCCAGTCCCAGACTTTCACATCCCCAAAGGCAAATTACAGCAAGCCATCTGCATTTTCAAAGACCCCCCACCGTAAACCCGGGTACTGCTTCCGGTGTGGTGAAGACGGCCACATTCGGCCGCAGTGCTCAAACGAACCCAATTCAGCTCTTGTTGCTCGCAAGAAAAGACTATTTGCACAACAACAATCCAACAGCAAAAACCATTTAAACTAAACAAGGTTCCGGTTATGGGACAAACGGGAACCAAGAGGGATCAATCCAGTCCCAAGGACAGTAAAACTATAAAGTGTGCAGAGATGAGTGGAGCTGAGACCACAACAGCCACAAGACTACCCAAGGGCCTCATTGGGTCAAAATGTGCGGCTGTGGTGGACATCGCAGGACACCCTTCTACTTGTCTTCTGGACACTGGATCACAGGTGACAACCATTCCAGTGTCTTTCTATAATGAAAACCTGAGTGATCAGCCTGTGAAGCCATTGCACAACCTGCTCCAGGTCGAGGGAGCAGCTGGACAATCTGTGCCCTATCTGGGATATGTAGAGCTGACCATTACCTTCCCTAAGGACTTCCTGGGATCTGAGGTTGATGTACCAACGCTCGCCCTGGTTGTCCCAGATGCCCGTCCTGAGTGCCCATCTCAGGTGCTCATCGGAATGAACACCCTCGAGCCCCTGTACGAGCTCCACTGTGGCAGCTGTCACTCCACCTTCCAGCCCACAGCCCAGGGGTATCGAGCCGTCCTGAAGCTACTGCAGATGCGGCACCAGCAGAACCATGTGGGCAGTGCAGGATCTGTGCGGCTGTTGAGCCAAACTCCAGTCCTCGTTCCTGCAGGACAGACCATCGTCCTGGAGGGTTCCGCTCGATTGGACGCCCCCACTGCAGATCAGTGGGCCATGATTGAGCACCCGTCATCAACACTTCCTGGAGGCCTGTGTGTCCAAAGCTGTCTCATCACCCTCCCATATCACTCTCCATACAAAGTGCCAATTATCATGAAAAATGAGTCAGAACAGGATGTGTGCATACCTCCATCAACCATTGTGGCTGACCTTGGAGTGTCACCCAGCATTCTGTCACAGGAAGTCAGAACCCCAGATCCGAAGGTCCGGAGCCCTGTGCAGTTCAACTTCGGAGATTCGCCGGTTCCACCAGAATGGAAGGAGCGGTTGACAAGCAAACTCAACACCATGCCCGAAGTGTTCTCTCACCACGAGATGGACTTTGGCTGTACTGACCGAGTGAAACACACCATCAAACTCCATGACCCGACCCCCTTCAAGCAGCGAGCGAGGCCTATCCATCCACAAGATCTGGAGGCCGTCCGCAACATCTTCGGGACCTGCTTGAGGCTGGAGTAATACGGGAGTTGGAGTCGCCATTCTCATCCCCTATAGTGGTGGTGAGGAAGCGCAACGGTGAGGTTCGACTGTGCATCGATTACAGGAAACTGAATATACAGACTGTAAAAGATGCTTACGCCCTCCCCGAACCCTGAAGAGTCTTTCTCAGCTCTGACGGGGTCGAAGTGGTTCACCGTGCTGGACTTAAAATCTGGATACTACCAGATCGAGATGGCAGAAGAGGATAAAGCCAAAACTGCTTTTGTCACACCACTCGGGTTCTGGGAGTGGAACAGGATGCCGCAGGGAGTAACGAACGCCCCAAGTACGTTCCAGCGGCTGATGGAGCGCTGCATGGCAGGGCTACACCTTAAGGAAGTTCTAGTCTTCATTGATGATATCATCGTGTTCTCAGCAACCTTGGAGGAACACGAGACACGGCTTATGCACGTACTGTCTCGTCTCAAGGACTTTGGACTCAAGCTTTCACCGGACAAGTGTACGTTTTTTTCAGTCCTCTGTGCGCTACCTGGGACATGTAGTTTCTGAACATGGAGTCGCCACAGATCCAGAAAGATTGAATCCTTGAAATCCTGGCCAGTTCCCCGCAATCTTAAGGAGTTGCGATCTTTTCTGGGTTTTGCGGTTATTACCGACGCTTTATTAAAGACTATGCAACCATGGTGAAGCTATTTTATTTCTTTTTTTTTATTTTTTTTCGTGGATATGGACCATTGAATGAGCTGGAGAGACGTACTCGTGGATCCGAATGGACATTCAAATGGAACTGTATGGAAGGCCAGCAGACCGCGTTTTGAAATGGTGTTGTATCTGTTTTAGGCTTCGCTGACCCCGGAGAGTGAATGTGACGCTCTTACAAGGAAATGGTTATTTTTGAGTTTGTTGACTGTGCGCCAATTTCCAAATTGCGACCGTCTCTTCCAAGGATGGACGTACACATTGAAGTCTAGTGATGACACTACAACATATTATATTTCTGAACTTTCTACTGTTTATGCAAAACATACTGCAAAGAGCAAAACTCAGTCATATTTAGCCGAGCTACAAAATATTGCGATGTCCTCAGGTTTGGATTTTGCAGAAGTGTTGAATTCCACAATGGCTCAGATTGGACGGTCCGTAGCCAAGCTCCACGCTTCTAATCCGGAGTTGGAGGAAAGGGGCCTGACCGGCGCTGAAGCTGCAACAACGCCATCTGTGGGAAAACTCCTGCAAACCACCAGCAACAGTTCCTGTAGCTCTGAAACCAGAAACACAGCCACACATCACACCACCTTCCACATCGGAGCCAAGAGCGAGAGTGCCAATCCCTAACCTGGATGTTAACCCACCTGGAATCCAGCGGTATGTGGTGGAGCATATAGTGAAGAGCGATGAAAACACATCCCATCAGAGACTCAGAGTGTTTTCAGGACGCCAGCCGAGACCCAGTACGCAGGAGGTACTTACGAGGACTCGGTCAAGATGGAGATGAGCTCTTCGCAAAATTCATGGATACTTTTCAGAACAGTGGAGAGAAGTCATCCTCCTATCTACGATGGCTCCAAGTGGCACTGAATGCTGCTGTGAAGATGGGCGGAGCTATGGACGTTGATGTTAACAGGCACCTAATTAATCAATTTTCCGTGGGTGTTGGGACAATTCTCTTATAGCTGAACTCCAACTAAAGCAAAAGAAATTGAACCCACCAACATTCTCTGAGCTTCTGCTTCTGCTTCGAACAGAATAGGACCGAGGTGCAGCAAAGGATCCTCCGGATGAAACAGCATCTTGGTTCAGGCAGACAGAAGGCATCCACCCACGTGCATAGTGCCAGTTCATATGGGGACAGTGAAGAAGGTGGAGCAGTCGCTGCTTTGACCAGCGTAACTAAGCAGCTGGCTGAACAACTGGCAGATGTGCAGCGGCAGCTAGCCATGCTAACGGCTAACAAGACCCTAGTCCCAGACCTTCACATCCCCAAAGGCAAATTACAGCAAGCCATCTGCATTTCCAAAGACCCCCCATCATAAACCCGGGTACTGCTTCCGGTGTGGTGAAGACGGCCACATTCGGCCGCAGTGCTCAAACGAATCCAATTCAGCTCTTGTTGCTCGCAAGAAAAGACTATTTGCACAACAACAATCCAACAGCAAAAACCATTTAAACTAAACAAGGTTCGGTTATGGGACAAACGGGAACCAAGAGGGATCAATCCAGTCCCAAGGACAGTAAAACTATAAAGTGTGCAGAGATGAGTGGAGCTGAGACCACAACAGCCACAAGACTACCCAAGGGCCTCATTGGGTCAAAATGTGCGGCTGTGGTGGAGATCGCAGGACACCCTTCTACTTGTCTTCTGGACACTGGCTCACAGGTGACAACCATTCCAGTGTCTTTCTATAATGAAAACCTGAGTGATCAGCCTGTGAAGCCATTGCACAACCTGCTCCAGGTCGAGGGAGCAGCTGGACAATCTATGCCCTATCTGGGATATGTAGAGCTGACCATTACCTTCCCTAAGGACTTCCTGGGATCTGAGGTGGATGTACCAACGCTCGCCCTGGTTGTCCCAGATGGCCGTCCTGAGTGCCCATCTCAGGTGCTCATAGGAATGAACACCCTCGAGCCCCTGTACGAGCTCCACTGTGGCAGCTGTCACTCCACCTTTCAACCCACAGCCCAGGGGTATCGAGCCATCCTGAAGCTACTGCAGATGCGGCACCAGCAGAACCATGTGGGCAGTGCAAGATCTGTGCCGCTGTTGAGCCAAACTCCAGTCCTCGTTCCTGCAGGACAGACCATCGTCCTGGAGGGTTTCGCTCGATTGGACGCCCCCACTGCAGATCAGTGGGCCATGATTGAGCACCCGTCATCAACACTTCCTGGAGGCCTGTGTGTCCAAAGCTGTCTCATCACCCTCCCATATCACTCTCCATACAAAGTGCCAATTATCATGAAACATGAGTCAGAACAAGATGTGTTCATACCTCCATCAACCATTGTGGCTGACCTTGGAGTGTCACCCAGCATTCTGTCACAGGAAGTCAGAACCCCAGATCCGAAGGTCCGGAGCCCTGTGCAGTTCAACTTTGGAGATTCGCCGGTTCCACCAGAATGGAAGGAGCGGTTGACAAGCAAACTCAACACCATGCCCGAAGTGTTCTCTCACCACGAGATGGACTTTGGCTGTACTGACCGAGTGAAACACACCATCAAACTCCATGACCCAACCCCCTTCAAGCAGCGAGCGAGGCCTATCCATCCACAAGATCTGGAGGCCGTCCGCAAACATCTTCGGGACCTGCTTGAGGCTGGAGTAATACGGGAGTCGGAGTCGCCATTCTCATCCCCTATAGTGGTGGTGAGGAAGCGCAACGGTGAGGTTCGACTGTGCATCGATTACAGGAAACTGAATATACAGACTGTAAAAGATGCTTACGCCCTCCCGAACCCTGAAGAGTCTTTCTCAGCTCTGACGGGGTCGAAGTGGTTCACCGTGCTGGACTTAAAATCTGGATACTACCAGATCGAGATGGCAGAAGAGGATAAAGCCAAAACTGCTTTTGTCACACCACTCGGGTTCTGGGAGTGGAACAGGATGCCGCAGGGAGTAACGAACGCCCCAAGTACGTTCCAGCGGCTGATGGAGCGCTGCATGGCAGGGCTACACCTTAAGGAAGTTCTAGTCTTCATTGATGATATCATCGTGTTCTCAGCAACCTTGGAGGAACACGAGACACGGCTTATGCACGTACTGTCTCGTCTCAAGGACTTTGGACTCAAGCTTTCACCGGACAAGTGTACGTTTTTTCAGTCCTCTGTGCGCTACCTGGGACATGTAGTTTCTGAACATGGAGTCGCCACAGATCCAGAAAAGATTGAATCCTTGAAATCCTGGCCAGTTCCCCGCAATCTTAAGGAGTTGCGATCTTTTCTGGGTTTTGCCGGTTATTACCGACGCTTTATTAAAGACTATGCAACCATGGTGAAACCATTGAATGAGCTTACTCGTGGATATGGATCTCTCCGTCGCTCTACCCGAGTGAAGAAGCCTGGAGAGACGTACCTTGATCCGAAGGAACCATTCAAAGGAACATGGACCAGCCGCCAGCAGACCGCGTTTGAAATGGTGATTGAAAAATTAACTTCTGCTCCTGTTTTAGGCTTCGCTGACCCCAAGCGGCCGTACATCCTCCACACGGATGCGAGTACCGTTGGGTTGGGAGCTGTGCTCTACCAGGAGCAGGAGGGAGTGTTGCGTGTCGTTGCTTACGCCAGTCGAGGGCTGTCCCTGAGTGAGACGAGGTATCCGGCCCATAAATTGGAATTCTTGGCCCTGAAATGGAGTGTTGTTGAGAAATTCCATGACTACCTTTATGGAGCCACCTTCACTGTCATCACGGACAACAACCCTCTCACCTACGTACTCACCTCTGCAAGACTGGACGCCACAAGTCATAGATGGTTGGCCGCACTTTCTACATACTCCTTCAAACTGCAATATCGTGCTGGACGGCAGAATTTGGACGCGGACGCTTTGTCTCAACGCTCTCATGGAGAACATCCAGATGACCCTTCCTGTTCGGAACGGGACCCCCCTTCATCACCTGACCCAGCAGCTATGTGAGTCAAGTGAAGCAGAAGAGATCTCTCCAGAGATAGTTGATGCCATCTGCCAGAGCTGTCTTGTGAGAACAGATCCAAGTCAAGCTACGATGACTCTGGTTGAGTCTCTGTCTGCCACTGTCAACATCATCCCCGACAGCTTCACCAATGAAGAACTCCATGGCTTACCCACGGTTCCATCCCTATCTCACACCGAGCTTCAGGACCATCAGAGAGCTGACCCTGCCATTCGTGAGGTCATTCACCAACTCGAAACGGGTGAGAAAGTTCCCCCTACAGCCAGAGCCGAATTGCCAGAACTTCCACTGCTTCTTCGAGAGTGGAATAGGCTGGAGTTGGAAGATGGAGTTTTGTACCGGAAGAGACAGGATGAGGACAAGGTTCTCCTACAGTTGGTCCTTCCACCAGATCTTCGTCCTGCTGTTTTAAAGAGCCTGCACCACAACATGGGGCACATGGGCATTGAGAGGACGCTTGATCTGGTCCGTCAACGCTTCTTTTGGCCAAGGATGGCAGTCGCTGTGGAGGACACAATCAAAAGCTGTGGTAGATGTGTGAGACGCAAGGCACTAGTGGAGAAAGCAGCTCCGCTAGTGAACATTAAAACCAGTCGCCCACTTGAACTACTCTGCATGGACTTCCTTTCATTAGAACCAGACAGTAGTAACACCAAGGACATTTTAGTTCTCACAGATCACTTCACTAAATTTGCAGTTGCTATTCCCACCGCCAACCAAAAGGCTCACACTGTAGCCAAATGCCTCTGGAATGATTTTATGGTGCACTACGGTATTCCAGAGCGCATCCACACAGACCAAGGCCCGGACTTTGAGTCCAAACTCATCAAGGAGCTTTGCGAAGTTGCCGGCATCCGGAAGAGCCGTACTACTCCGTATCACCCACGGGGTAATCCAGTTGAACGGTTCAACCGCACTTTGCTCACGATGCTGGGAACCCTCGAAACAAAGCAGAAGTCACAGTGGCGGTTGCATGTAAAGCCATTGGTCCATGCATACAACTGCACAAGGAACGAGGTCACCGGGTTCACCCCTTATGAACTCCTCTTCGGACGTTGTCCTCGTCTCCCCGTCGATCTGGCTTTTGGTCTGCCGGTCCGAGAAAAGCCCTCAGTCTCTCACTCTGACTATGTTAAGAATCTCCGGTCACGCCTCAAAGAGAGCTACCAAATAGCTTCTGAGAATGCTCTTAAGTCAGCTGCCAGAAATAAAGCACGTTTTGACAAGAGAGTCACACCATCTACCCTCGAGGTTGGAGACCGAGTCTTGGTCCGCAATGTCCGCTTGCGAGGAAAGCACAAGCTAGAGGACAAGTGGGAGCGGGAAGTGTACAAGGTAATCCAGCGTGCTGGAGAGTTGCCTGTTTACACGGTGCAGCCGGAGAATTATGATGGACCTACTCGCACGCTGCACCGAGACCTCCTGCTGCCTTGCGGGTTCCTACCAGCTTGCTCTGACGATCTTCCCATGGAAACCCCGGCCCAACGACCAAAGACTCGCAGCCAGACTCGTGACCAAGTTAATTGCTCTGATGTTCCGGAGGGAGAGATGCTGAAGCAGCCATCCTGGAAAGTCCTGTCCGGGTTCCAGTCAAATTCACAACTGAGAGTTTTAGAGACGTTGAGCCACTGCCTTTGACCATCCACACTGAGGAGCCTGTCGCACCACCAGTCCTCAGTGATGTTGAACTACCTGACCTCCACTCACCTGCTCAAAATCTGGACCCTGAAAACCACTTACCTGAAGAACCTGCCACCTCCGATCCACCTACATCCCTGGTGGGAGAAGAGGAAGTGCCAGAGGGAGAAGACTATCTTGAGCCAGTACCTGTGGAGGAAGAAATACTTATCAATGACTTACCTGGTGTGACTTACCGGTGTCCAACTTACCATTTTTAAGCAAAATTTTAGAAAAACTTGTTTTTACCCAGCTCAATGCCTTTTTAGATCAACAGCAAATTTTAGAGACATTTCAATCAGGTTTTAGGGTGAACCACAGCACAGAGACGGCTCTTTTAAAGATTTTAAATGATTTTAGATTAAATTATGATTCTAAAAAGGTGACTGTGTTGGTTCTACTGGATCTTAGCGCTGCCTTCGACACAGTAGACCACACCATTCTTTTATCCCGCCTGAAACACCTCGGCCTCTCTGGTGCTGTCCACAAATGGTTCACTTCTTATTTAACAGACCGATCCTTCATGGTAAGTTTGGATACCTGCTCCTCTCAGGTCCATAAAATCACATGTGGTGTGCCCCAGGGTTCCATTTTAGGTCCAGTCCTTTTTAACGTGTACATGCTCCCTCTTGGCGGTGTCATCAGGAGACATGGAATTAACTTCCACAGTTATGCAGATGATACACAGCTGTACATCTCCATGTCTCCTGATGACACCAGGCCAATGGATGCTCTTTTTAACTGCATTTTAGACCTGAAATCCTGGATGGCAGAAAACTTTCTCCAGCTTAACCAGGACAAAACTGAGGTTTTAGTCATCGGTCCTGAGGCCGAGAGAGAGAAACTTTTACCAAAACTCCAATCACACTCTTTTAATCCATCATCACAAGTGAAAAACCTGGGCGTAATCTTTGACTCTGAGCTGACTTTTATTCCTCACATTAAGAATATAACAAAAATAGGTTTTTATCATTTGAAGAACATCGCCAGAGTCCGCCCCATTCTCTCTCGGGCCAACACGGAGACGCTGATGCATGCTTTTATAACCAGTCGCATTGACTACTGTAATGCCCTGCTCTCTGGTCTTCCCAAAAAGAACATTTCAGGTTTACAATTACTCCAAAACTCGGCCGCACGTGTCCTGACTAAGACCAGGGGGCGGGACCACATTACACCGGTTTTAAAATCGCTGCATTGGCTCCCCGTGTGTTTCAGGATTGATTTTAAGGTTCTTTTAATGGTTTTCAAATGTCTTAATGGTCTTGGGCCTTCTTATCTTTCAGAACTGCTTTTATCCTATGAACCCTCCCGGCCCCTGCGCTCCTCCGGCAGCAGACTCCTAACCATCCCCAAAGTCAGGACACACACTCACGGCGAGGCATCTTTCCAGCACTACGGCCCCGTCTCTGGAACAGTCTGCCGGAGGAGCTCAGGGTCGCAGAGAACATTCATATTTTTAAAGCCAGGCTCAAGACACACCTTTTTAGATTAGCTTTTGATTAGTATTTATTAGTCCATTTTTATATATTCTATTTATCCTTTATTATTTATTATATTGCTATTGCTTTTATTCATGTTTTGTGTGATAGTTCCTTTCAGGCTCACATTTTAGTGTTTTACTTATTGTATTTGTTTTTAAGTATCCCCAGTGTTTCCTCTGGAGGAGCCTTCTGCGCTGGGAGCGGTGGTTGGCTGTGGCTGTGGGGGTCGGACTCTTGGACCTGGTGGGGGCCCGGGGCCTCGGTTTTGGGTCCCTCTGGGTCCTGTGTCGTCCCCTTTGGCTATGGGCGGCTCTCTGCTCCTGGCGCTGACGGCTCCTTGGATGGCGTTTCTTCAGCCGGTTGCATCTGAACCCTGCCAAGTCTCTTATCGTCGTTTTATTGTTTTATCGGTGCGTGTGTGTGTGCGCGTGTGTGGGGGGGGGGGTGTGTTTGCTTGTGGTCTGGGGAGGGTCTGTTGGGCGTTCGGGGGGAGGGCATGGGCAGGATTGTTTTTTAGCCAAACTGTAAAGCACTTTGTGTTGCATCTGTTGTATGAAAAAGCGCTTTATAAATAAACTTTGATTGATTGATTGATTGATACCTGTTGAACCTGAACTGTCCCTAGACACTGAGGTTGCTGATCCATCGACCGTCCAACCTGAGCCATCCTTCGGGCCCATCAATTCACCCGAAACTGTCTCTAATGTGGCGGAACCCGAAACAGTTCTTAGGCGTCCTGTGCGTCAACGCCAGCCACCCAGTCGTCTCACGTACACTAGTTTGGGTAATCCACTCATTTCCGTTGTACAAAGTTTGTTTCACAGCCTGTCAAATGTATATACGGAAGCACTCAGTTACGTTCCTATTGTAGATCCGAAGCCTGAAAGACCATGCAGCGGGACGCGCATGAATTAAATGGGGGAGGGTGTAACCCGGGTCATTTTTATCATTCTCTGCACCTCTCCATTTGTCTTTTTTTTTGCCGTCTCTTTTAAATAATCTCGCGGTAGTTGGTTGTTCCGACGAGAGTTCGAGCGAGAGTTCCCACGGTCCCCATGGCAACATTTCCTCAAATAAGCGCGCTCTGTCCACAGTCGGGTGTGTTGCTGTGTGGAAAGTTCGGATCCGAGCAGGCTGCAGGTAATTGTCCGCGATCTAACTTCGTTTCATAATCTACGGGTTGTAACTGATATGCTTTCACTACAGGCGCCTCCTACACTATCTTTGACGCGGTTGTCACACTGTTTGCACTGTTCTACAGAGGAACTGGTGAGTCAGATTGTTTGATTCTGCACGGAGCTAGTAGCTAGCGCTAGTCTCTGCTGCATTACTGACTTTTCTCTTTGATGTATGTTTTTCTGTGTCGGTGCCTAGGCCTAGTAGTATGATTGTGATAATGTGTATTGATGTATTTTAATGTGCACCTCAGCAAAATGTTAAATGCATTGATATATTTGATTGTGTGCACAAGATAAGCTAATGTGACCTGTGCATTATTGTTTATGGTACATTGTGATGAGTACTCTTGATTATTTAATATACATGTATATGAGACTTTGTTTTTGTAATGACCTATTGCTTATTTGAATGAGATGTGACTAATGCTGGTCCTGTTCGTAACAGGCCAGGTTCTATCCATCCATCCATTCCTTCCATTGGTCCCTCCAGTCCAGTGGTCCCCTTGTCGATGGCGAGCTGCCCCAGGCCCAAAGCCTAGACCCAGACTGTCCCACAGTGCGGTAGGAGGCGAGCAGCCTTTTGCTCACCCACACAACACCTCCACTCCTCACAAAGTGGACACTTAATAGACATTTGATTACAGCAACACGCTGGTTATATGGACTCAACTTTACACTCTACATTCATTGTACATATTGTGTATATTGTATATATGTTTGTATATATCCCCAGTCTTTTGTATATATATCTTTCCGCAATATAATTCACATTTTTGCACTGTACCACTGTCTCTGTCTTTTTAAACACCTCTCTCTCTTGTGAGACGCATCTAGCTTCTGGTACTAGCCTAAGATCAGTATTGTGCCTGTGGGTAACATAAAGCATACAACCCATATATGCTACACCAGCCTTGGCCACCACTGTGACAAAGACAGACACTTTCGTAAGGACAGTTTGGCATACCAGCCACACACAGGCTGGCAGCCTCGAACAGGTGTGGAGTGTGGCCTTAAGTGGAGACTGACTCCAGGTGGGGGAGATGGACCGGCCAGGTGCACTGCCGCTCCTCCAATCAGCACCCGAGTCACAACCTTCGGGAGGCGGGAGGGCCAGTGAATGACCAATGACAGGCCAGGGATCTTCAGACATGAGGTTTCCACACACACACACACAAAATACAAAAACAGGGAGCAATATGTAGGCTCAGGGCCGTAACAAATTTCATTGGAACTTCCTGGTTAAGTGAAGGTAAAATAACACCTTAAATATAATGGTACTGATGAAAGTAAGCAACATTTCTTTGAGATCTATTTTTATTTGACCCATTCTGCCCCTGTTTGTGTTTGTGGCATGCAAAACAGATGTCCCAGACCTCAGCTGGCTCCCCTTGATGCGAAGGAGCTGTGGTTCTACTCCGAGCTCCTCCTGTGACTGCACTCCACCCTATATGAGGACAGCAGACAAGGGCATTGGGTAAAGCATGTGTTCTCTGAGGTGAAGGTCGGCAGTTCCAACCCAGCTCCTGACAAAAACATCATTGGTTGAGCGGTCAGATCGACTGACCTCCAGGTTGGCAGTTGTGAAACCAGCTTCCATTGGTGAATACTGCCATGTACTTGGGCAATACACTAACCTAACTAGTGCATTTAACCTGTCAGGCTAGACCAAAAGTGGCTCCAAAACAGAAGTCAAAAGTGGAGAGGGCACTTCTATCCTAAAATTAGGGAATATCCACCAATATACTTCACAAGACACTTGGCTAGATGCAAGAACACGAGAAAACATGAGAATCTGGCGCATGAGGTAGGGAGCACATTAACTAAATACACAAGGTCACAAGTGAGACACATCAAGGGTGGGGCAGAAATCATGGTCAGGAAGTGAACTTGAAACAAGGACAAGAAAAAGCGATTTCAAAATAAAACACACAACAGGACAAGCCATGACATAACCCGCCTTACCCCCAGTGCCTGCAAAAATAGTCCGTGTGATTTATTTCCTTGATGTGAAGTGCTTTGAATTGGTAAGAAAAGTGTTCCATCCAGCCTCTCTGTGAAACTGCATTTTGAACTCTTATGCTCATGATCGAACGCTCAAGACCAGGGGTATTCAAGCGAGTCCAGTTTGAACATGGAGACAGAAAATCGGTGGAGTCTGGTGTTCCTGCTTGGTTGGAATGAAAACCTGCTGCCAAACTGGCGCTTTGAGGACTGAGCTGAATACCCCTGCTCATAAGTGTGTGAACATAGATTGACCAGTAAATCGAGAACTTCTGTAGGATTATCCTGTTTATGGTTTAGATTATAGATAATAAACAGCATTCAAAGAACACACCGGGGAAAGTCTGAGAGGAAAATTGCCAACCTAAACCTAAAGCAGTGTCCAGTCTGTCCATCTTTTATGTGGCCTTCCTGCTGAGCCTTATTGACCATGTATATTTGAGCACAGACATGTCGCAGCAGCACTTACTCATCTCTTTGTGGACAAAAACCTGACGTCTACCCCAGCCACTGTTCCATGTTGATGGAAAAA